TCAGCTAGCAGAGCTGGATGCAAACATATCCCCAGATTACAAACCTGTTGTGCTGGACGGAGTTGTACTCCCCCTTAAGTCTGATTCTGATTCAACTCTGCTATGTGTCTTGTCTGTCCCTCTGATGTACCCAGATGGAATAGCCACTGATAGAGGCAGCTTAGGAAGGGAAGGACCCAAATGGCAACTCAGAGTATCATTCACTAGCTACCTTATGTAACTGGGCTTGCAAACGCTATTCAATTGGTAATTCTTGAAGCTGCAGAATTTACCTTAGTTCTGAGACTTCTTCCATTGTCCCTGGACACGTAGTCAAGATGGCATCCCTGGGTGAAGGTTTATTTATTATGTATTTATTTATTAAAGCAGTTATATCCTTTTCCTTTTGGTTCAAGGCAGCTTACAATAACAGTTTAAGAAGTTTAGTCTTTCATTGGCTTGTGGCCATTGAAGAGATGAGAGCATTAAAGAAGAGAACTTTTTCCTCATGTCTTGAGAATTTATAATCTTCCCTTGGAAGTTCGTCCTTTTCTGCAGTCAGTCCTAGCCTTCCTGCCTCAAGAGGATGAAATTACTATCTAGCCTTTGGGCTTTCCAAATTGTGTCTCCTGAAGTGTGACAGTCTAGCAAGGTGAAAAAAAATTGAGTCCAGTGGCACCTTTAAGGCCAACAAAATTTTATTCAAGGTATGAGCTTTTGTCTGCACACACACTTCCTGAGATACAGTGAAGTGGAACTTACCAGTCCATACATATAGGTTCCATTTCACTGTATCTGAGGAAGTGTGCGTGTACACGAAAGCTCATACTTTGAATAAATCTTTGTTGGTCTTAAAGGTGCCACTGGACTCAAACTTTGTTCTACTGCTTCAGACCAACACGGCTGCTCACCTGGATTAGTCTAGCAAGGTGTGAGATGGTAAAACTTTTGTTTTCACTTCAGTCAGAGGTATTTGCATAAGTACGCACTGGAGTACCCTGTGCTTGGGAAAGAGATGACTCATCTCCTGTAGTTTTCCTTTTGCAAGTCCTTTACTCTGTGGCATGTGTAGAGTATAGCCCCAGTTAATCAAACACTAAGATGAAATCTAGGGTGGGGGGCATTTCTCCATGACTTGCGCAAGGATGGGCAAGAGACATTAATTCATTTAATGAAGTTTGATTACCCATCATCATTGTGTTGAGAGATCTTAGTAAATCTAGAGAACGACCCCAGGAAACCAATTCTGATTCCCATTTTTTCCACTCCATTGCTAAATAATGGGGGACTGAAGTGCTCAGTACAGTAAATTCTTTCTTCTCCCTCCAGTTAGTTTGCCACATACTGTTGTTTGTAACACACTTTATGTCCTGGCAGGAATAGCATTATGTGTCAGTTAGTCAGTTAGCCTTTATTGGCATAAAACAATACCTTAAAAGAGGATTACTATAACAAAATATACATATAAAACCATATAAGACCATACATATAAAACCAAGTATTTTGCAAACTACATAGTATTGCATAATATTACATAAAACAATTTGTTACAAAGTGTTGCTCATTTTGGTAGTTTTTCCTGTCATAGCTTTATAGCTGATTGTAAAAACATGGCTACCTTCATTGATATTTCAGTAGCGGAGTCATTCAGAAGACGATGCACTTTTAAAGCATAAGGAAGGTCCATCATGTTGGCTAAAATAGGGTTTAAATATCTAAAACGTATGTCTACATAAAATTGTCAGTGCAAACAGATATGTGAAACTGTCTCGATGCATCCAGAGTTACAATGACAAAGTCTAGATGTATATGCTATATTATTATATCTCCCATGCAAGACTGCTGATGGTAGTGCATTGAATCTTGCTAGTGAAAAAGCTCTGTATTGCTGTGGTGCTTGTATGTTAGATAGGTATGGGGCCATTCGGCCTACTGTGAGGGGAATCTCAAAGTTCAGAGGGGAGCAAGATTTGTTGGCTAAGCTGTATAGCCTTTGTGTTTCAATGTCAAGGACTGCGTTTAATCATCTGAAAAGCACCCATAAAAGGGAGCATAAGCAGTGAGTCCAATGGGATGCCCATGGCAGTTATTTTGTTCTCAATGTGTGGTAGCCAGTTAAACATGTTTGACTGTGAGCATTTGTTGTATAAGGCTCCCTTGGTCTACATTGCAATGTAGATGCAGCCAATATTTTATTATCATTAGCCATGCACCAGATTCCATAGAATTTAACCCAGTTTCTAAACACAAGGCTGCATAAGGTACACAGCGCGGCATTCCCATGATCATTCAAAGAAATTTAGATTGAACACGTTCTATTGTGCCATGAAGTGCACTTATCCAGATTGGAATACCATACATGAGTCGGTGGGTTACTTTGGCCTTGAAGACTTTAAATGCTGCTGGTATGAATTGATTGCCTCTGGTGTAGAAGAATCAGGAAATGGCAGAAGCATTTATGTTGGCCATATTTATTGCTGAATCACGCTGTAAAGACCAAGATGCATTATACTGGAAGTGCAGACCTAAGTATCTAAAATTTTTAACTTGTTCAATTGGTTTGCCTCCAATTGTCCATTTGAATGGTTTCCAAGTTTCAGAAAAGACAAGTATTTTTGATTTTTCATGGTTTAAAAGTAATTTATTTGTTACAAAATGTGAAAGATATTTATTTAGTGGACGCTTTAAGCCAACTTTGGAGCAGGACAATAGTACCATGTCATCCGCATATAGTAGTAGAGGGACATGGACAGAGCCCAGTTTAGGAGCATGGCAATCAACAGCTTTGAGGTAAGGGGAGAGATCATTAGGGAACAGGTTAAATAGAAAAGGTGCTAAAATACAGCCTTGTTTGACTTCTTCATTTGATGAGATTTTTGTAGTTAATTTCCCTGTCAGTGAACATTTGATTTGGCATTTTGTTGATGTGTATAGCTTTCTTATAAGGTTAAGGAGTCCCTTATCTATGTTTAGTTGTTATAGTTTAGCCCAGAGGAGTTCTCTGTCGATTGAATCAAATGCCCCTTTAAGATCTATGAAGGCAGCGTATAATTTTACATTGCTTCTTTTAACATACTTATTAATCAGGTGCTCTAATATAATGCAGTGGTCTAAAGTAGTTTTCCCTTTACAGAATCCCAGCTGTTCCGGGCCTAAGACTCTCTCTTCTGTCATCCATATGGTCAGCTTAGATAGTAGATGTTTGGCATACAGTTTGCCCATAATGGAAAGCAGGCTGATTGGTGTATAGTTGGAGGGAATTGAGCAATCAACTTTTTTGTAAATTGGGACTACGGTTGCATTTAACCATGCATCAGGGATAAGGCCAGATTTATCAATCATTGTAAAAAAGGATGCAACCGTAGGGGGGGCCGCCCACCAATCAGAGTCTAGTTTTAAACTTTCCAGGAGAATTATATCAAGACCAGCTGCTTTTCCTGGTTTTAATTGGCCAATCAGTTATTTTATTTCATCAGGTGTTACATGAGGCCAATCTGAGGGATCCATAGTGCTGACATCATCCTGATGGAATAATGTCAAAAAATGATACCACATTTGGGGAGAAATAGCAGACATAGAGCCTCTGCACAACATGACCCCGAGACTATGGCCCAGAATTTTTTTGTATTTTTTAAAATCGTGGCCTGGTATAATTGTTCCCATTGTGTATTAATATATTCAATCTTCTTTCTGTTCATACTCTGTTGTAGTTGGTGCTTAAGTTTAAAGTATTCTATCAGGAAAAAAGGGTCAGTGGTCTCACGGTATTGTCTGAAGACATTGCGTAATTGGGTTTTGCATTATGTGTTCCAAGGCTTAGCTGGGGTAGCATTATGTGTTCCAAGGCTTCATGCACCTGCAGAAGGAGAAGTGCCTTGGTTTCCCAAAAGCAGGGTGTAATGCATACAATGGGCAATGCAATCAAATCATAAAGCACTATCATATAATACAACAGACAGTGCAATGAAAACTAAAACAAATTTCAGATATTAAACCTACGACCCCTATTCCCTTTCTAAAAATGCCCTGTTGAATGATTGCACCACTACAGAACACACTTTTTTTCTGTGTATTAAGGCTGATGCAGCCTTTTTGCACTTTAGATGTCAGTATAGAAACTGATTTCCAAAAAACACACACACATTTTCAGTTTTCTTTTAATGCCACTACTGTTTTTGTATCATGTTGACAGCAATATCCATGGTGGGTTTGTATTTATGCCACAACAAGCTGGACAACTCATTGTTAACTACTCCATCTGTTCCAGTTGTTCAGGGTGTCCAAAACCAAAATCATTCTTAGATGGCAGCATGCAATGTTAACAAATTAACAGTGCAATCCTATATCTGTTTCCTCCAGTTTTAGCACATTGATTCAGTGGGCTGAGACTGAAGTAAGTCTGCATAGGATCACACTGTAAACATACTAAATAAATGGCAGCAGTGTTAATAATCAGGGTTTTAGGCAGGTAGGTTGAGGAAATAGGCAGCACTTTCCCTGTCACTTTCTCTATTGCTGGTGTGTTGCAATATTGCTCTGTAGCTTAGTAAAATGATGGTTTTCAGCAATGTTTTTATATGGTACTTGGGCTGTCTTCCAATCAAAATATTGGAGGGCCATTTAATACCCATCTGCTCCGCAGTAACACTGAACTTCAAAAACCCTGCTTTCCCAATTTTACTGACTCTTCCTCAGACCGATTTGTGACCATTCTTAACTTGAAGAGATGATAGCATAAACTTTCCAAGTAATATTCAGTTAACACATGAGGTTTGTAGGCAAGTGCAGCCATTTTAGCTGGGAAAGCCAAATGAAGATTTGTTGTGTAGTTAATTTAGAAATGTTAGAATGCCTGAGTTCAGTTTGTGCTGGGCAATGTTAATATTGTTTGTTGAGCTAGAAATAATAAAACATTTTGAAGTGCCTTTTTTATTAACATTATATGAGTGTGCCACAAAAGGGGAAAAAAACTCAAGTGAAACCTTTGCCAGACATAATCCATGTGTGTTTTTCTCATGCAGCTTCCACAGATGACAGTGCAGCAGAGAAGAAAGGTGGAACTCTTCACGCTGGCTTAATTGTTGGGATTTTCATCTTGGTCCTGATTGTGGCAGCTGCTATACTTGTGACAGTTTACATGTACCACCATCCAACCTCAGCAGCCAGTCTCTTCTTTATTGAGGTGAGCTGCCTTTATGATAATAGATCACTGAGCCTGCCACCTATTATCCTCTCAGGGTCTGGTCTGTTTCCTATACACTTAGACTCTGAAGTATTCTCTGAGTCCTGATAAGTGCCTGCATTCATCTTTCCTTGTCCTGTTGTTGTTGTTTTTATTTGATTTACAACGTTTGGCCTTTAGCCAAGGACTATGATAGCTGGCAGGGAATGCATCTCCAGCCAGTTTAAACAGCTGCGAACATGACCTTTTCCCACAACAATGTGTAAAATGACAGGCTTGGAGAATCACTGAGTTTTAGGAATAATTGCTGAGGTCACATAGTCTGTCTCCATCCAGCTTCAATTCATCTTGGCAGTAGTCCACCTCTGAATCATTGGTCTTCTGATTAATTCTAGTTTATTGCATGGCATTGTTGGCAATGGAAATTAGCTCAAGGTGTATCATTGTAAATTCAGAATTTGTTTCTGTAAGAGAGGTTACAACAGTCCTATTTCAAACAGTTGTGGCGACTGCATGATGCCCACATTTCTATCATGTTCAGGAAAGCTTCCGATATTTTCATTTCGGTTATTGTAAACTAAAGCCTAAACAGCTCATCATGACAGCTTACGTATGTCCCCTGGCACTTTCCCTTCTAGGTGAGACCTGCTTAGCTTCAGAAATAGAACTGCATCATGTTTTTTCAGACCATTCTTTCTTGGAGAAGTGGCACTATTCAATATACATGGATCTGTCTTTCCACTTGCAGAGAAGGATGATAAGACACAGCCACATTAATCTTCTGTGGGGAGCTAAAAATGGTTGGATATGCATATGAACTGTCATATAAACGGCCATCTGCATTAACGCATGATTGGCTGGGTTTGCCATTACATGAACAAGTCTGGGGATTCTTGTGCTTGTGCCTCAAATCAAGATTAAACTGTTATCTGGAATCCTTGTTTGAGGGGAAGGGTATGATTCTTATTAATAATAATAATAATAATTACATTTATATCTTGCCTTTCTTCCATTGTGGAATGCAAGGCGGTGTGTGGGGCTGTTCCAGGCCAGGTCAGTAGCCTCTCCTGCCTCAGCCATTCCCATATGTGAGGTAGGACCAAGTTCCAGTCTTAAATGGTTTATTCTGAGCACACACAGATAGACAAATGGGGGAGCAGGGAAGGGAAATATGGAACTTGGGGGGTGGGGAAGGAGTGCAATTTTTACTTCATTCAAAACCTACAAGGCTCCATTGGACAAGTACTTCAAAGTTTGTAGTTGACAAACTACCCCTTCCTGTTAGTCTTTATTTTGGTGGTTCCATGGAAGAGAAGGGGGTTCATCTTTGACCAATCAGAAAGGGGGAGGGGGGTTATGTAAAAAGTCCAGACACTCAAAATATAAGTCCAGCCCAGTGAACTGTTTCCCCCAGATTATGTGAGCCTTGCAGTCGGTTCTTTGGGGTTGATTTTTTCCATCTGTGTAGTGTAACCAGGAGATCCTACAATTGTCTGTCAGTCAGAAGTTCTAGCTCTTTAGTGTTATCCAGGGTGCACTATGAGAAGGTGAGCTAGAATTGCACCCCAAATTCTAATATGGTACTTCAGTGTGGCTCAACAGCCCCTCCACAAAGTTGATGTCCAACTCAATACAATGAGAACCATCAGCAAATGTATTAAACCCACTCTGACCTGTTGGCTACCCAGAGTTTGTGATTCATGTGAAACAACCAACTACAGTTTGCTAAGAAAGGCTTTAATTTCTGAGCTGTTTGGAGGAAGGGAAACTGCCATGGAAGATATGTAAGCTTCCATGAGATCTTCAGAGGAAAACCAAGGAAGAAGGGGATCCCTCCAATCCCACCCCCAGTTGTTCATGGAATGCAAACCATGGTTTGTTACTACATCTAAACTGTGGCCATGTGTAATTGAAGCTGATAATATATACTAGTGATGTACACCATTTCACATGAACACATGAAGCTGCCTTATACTGAATTATACCCTTGGTCCATCAAAGTCATTATTGTCTCAGGGTCTCAGACGGAGACTAAAGATGAAACAACTTCTACAGAGTTTCATTACAGGAGCTTGAAATAAAATGACATAATAGTGCAAAAAAAAGCTTTAGAAAGTATAGCATAGGCCCCGGTCACACAGGCCGGAAAATGCGGGGGGGAAGCGTGGCTGTTTGCCCCGGGGCAAAATAATGCGCGGTTGCGCGATCAGACCTCTCGTGGAGGTCCCGTGGTTAGGGCGGGTGCCGATCACACGGCGCAGCAAAGAAGCGGGGGCTGCGTGCCGAGGGTTCTGCTCCAGCGCCTGTCTTCGAGGGCACGGTGAGGGCTGGCCTCCTGGCTCTTCGGCTCTCTGGGCGCTGGGGCTCCGATCTGCTATTTGTTTGAGGGCACTGCAGCTCTGATTTTGATAGCCACACAGATGCTTTCTGGACCTAAATTGAAAGATGTTCTAATTCAGCAACTGTGCATTTGGCACCAGACACATGACTTTCACCTTTTGAGGCCTCACAAATATCTTTGTCATGTGTCTTTAGATCTTGCTGCTTAACCTTCCTCTTCCTGGTCCAATATTCACTTATTGGTTATCTTATTGCAATATGTATTTAAGTTATGTGTACCTCAATATTGTTTGACCTCTGAAGAAGGCCCCAATAGGGCAGAAACGCATCAGGTCATGTGTATTGGCCTTTGTGTTTAGGCTAAACTTTTTTACGAGGCTTTCATTGGGCCCTTATATATGTTTTTAACTATATTTCTAATAAATACTTGTATTTTTGTATATTATAAGTTTTAACTAGGTTTTTAATATTGGCCCTTCATTAGACTTTCTTCTCACCCTTTTGGTTCTTGATTCCAGTTTTTGGGTCAGGTTTGTTTTCCCCTCCCTTTGTCTTACCGCCATAATGCAACTTTGCCCCCCCAGTCGGAATAAAGAGACAGACACCGATATGGATTTATCAAGGGCCACTTTATTAATTATTTAATAACAACAAATACTAGCGAGGGGTTACCAGAAATGTACTGAGGAATATGACAGGTGTCAAACTCCTGACCACCTTCATTTTCTTCTGGGCGATGCACCTGCTCTGATCTCAAGCCACCGAAGGTAGCTTTCGACCAGCAGCGTGGCATGTTCAAGAGAACCCCTGACCCACCACCCCAGAAGCCACAAAGGCCCACTAAGGTAGGCCGAGCCAGATTGTCCCAAGGAAGATCACACCTTCCCGGCCTTGAGCCGCAAAGGCCCGAAAGCCGTT